CGTTTTTCCAATCTTCTATTCCAATCTGTAGAATAAAGTCTCATTAATTAATGAAAAGTAAACAAATGCTTTAATCTAATTAAATATTTGATAAAGTACAATAGGTAACACTTTAAAAAGTAGGTTTAATTAATGCATTACAATCAACCGTGAGACATAACTACATTATAGTTAACAAGTTAATTTAAAAAATATAACAAAATATCATTAGTTATTAACTATTTAATAAAATGATTATGACTTCTAATATTTATGAGTTATTAGGTGTTGATTAACATCAAGATTAATAATTTATTTTCGAGTTGTCATTACAGTGACTTTAATGAAATAAACTGATATTAACGATGAGTCTTACTTTACAGAGTTAATAAACTTAAGGCCCATAAATAGTCACAGGATTTACAATGTCGAAGGCCAGATTAAAATGTGAAAATATTAATGTTTTTAAATAAATTGCCTATTAACTCTTCATCATTTTGGAGCTTACCAACACCATTAATTATTCTTTAAAGGCCATTTTAAGTTTAAATAATAAATAATCATTTATTAATTTATTTTACTTTTTTGTAAATATATTTATTCAGTTCTGAAAAATGACAGACAACAACAACAAACAGGTGGACAAGACAAAGGGGGGAGAAGAAAAAAAAAAACTCACCAAAATAATTCCATATTCATTCAAAAAAAATCATTAAAAAAATGCTTGGTTCTTTTAGCTCAATGTTGGGTCAAATATAGACAAACTCAAGGTTGAGTTAATATTAACACTTAGATTTAAACTAGGCTATATAACCCAACAGTTTGCCATGTCCATATTTGACCCAACGTTGGTTTACAACAGCCTAGCATTTTTTAGAGTGTTTCAAGCTCAGGCCTCATTAAGCCAGCCCTCTGATAAGTACAGTGCTTAGTATATATGGGTCCACCCCCCCACAAATCTCTCATTTAAATTCACATTTCCTATAGGAAGCTTTACAATATTAAATTTGTGCATATACATTCGTTTTCCCAGGTTGTGGCTGGAAGGGCATCCGCTGCGTAAAACGTGCTAGATAAGTTGGCGGTTCATTCCGCTGTGGTGACCCCTTATTAATAAAAGGACTAAGGTGAAAAGAAAATGAATGATTGTATGTACATTAGTTTCGTCAGTGCTGAAGCCAAATCTTTAGCTAACCCAACAATAATCACTTAGGACAGTGGTTTTCAAACTGTGGTACGCAGAGGAATCAAATATTTTTATATATATTATATATTTATCACAGATGATTTATATATATACATGATGACATATAGCCTATATTTATGTGGTCCAAGCAACATTTCCAGGTTTTGAGGAATCGGCCACTATATGTTAATACTTTACATTAAAGCGCAGGAGTTTTTATTTATTTATTTATTTATTTAGAACAGCAGTCTACCATTTTTAATTAACTTTTAAAAGCACATTTTAATTAAAACATTGACATTTTATTTTGTTTGTTTGTTTTTTACCTGTAAGCACAGTACAGTGTTAATGTTCAAACAATTTATAATGTTTAAATTGGCTGACAATAATAAATATTCTTAATAATAGGAATTAATCTGTCTCATTTTTTAACTGTGCAGAGCTGGAGCTGCTTAATTACGCAACTTACCACACTACTATATTCTAATACTGGTCATTATGATGGTACTTGGAAAGACAATTTTGTTCTGAGGTGGTACTTGATAAAAAAAGTTTGAGAACCACTGACTTAGGATAATGGTTAAGAAATTAGTAGCCCAAATTGATGTTAGAGAAAAATATTAAATAAAATTTTCAATAAAATAAATTAAAAAAAAAAAAAAAATCAATATCTTGCATTAATTTAAATGTATAATCTTTCCATTTCTAAAGATGTTCTGTGACTAAAATATTATTTTAATAAATATATCTGTTTAATAAATCTGTTCTGTTCAAATGCACCAACATATATAACCCATGTTTAATGAGAAATGGATAAAAATATTCATTTTCAAAATGGGGTGTACTCAATTATGCTGAAGACTGTATATGTTCTGTTTAATGACATGTATTTCTACAACGGACCCCATTTATCTCATTTACTGTATTATTAAGTGCCCACGATATCAATATTGTGCATCATTATCACAATATATTGAATATTGACAGTATTCTTTAATGTTTGGACATGGTGTTTTTGCATTTGTCCTGTTCTTTCGCCTGATTACAGGAGCACATTTAGCTACGTAACACTCTGACCCGCGTTATCCTCATCTTACCTTGGCCCTTTAAACTAGTCATGGCTCAGGTTAAACTAATTTACAAATAGCATTAATCTAATTTACAAAGTTCCCATGACGTGGCCATTGAACTGATTTAGCACTGAATTTAGCCTTCAGAGACACAGTACTTTCTTATTTTATTAACTTATCTATTTTTTCTTCTTTTATTTTTTTGTTTTCTGAGACCAGATAAGCCCAGATTTGTGCTCAGTGGGTCAAATGTTCAACACTTATTTTTCCTAAAGAGCTTATAATAGTGATCTTAGATACTGATAAAATGACATGCTATTTTCCTGTAAAGCTACTTAAAATAGCACATATAGTACATAAATAGTAACTGCTTACCCAAATAGTAACTGCTTAAGTAAAGCGCAGAACTGAACATACAATAAAAATGAGGGGAAACCGGGAAAGGGGTCTGGATGCTGTGCAATCTGAGCTGCATCCAATGCTTGGGCTCACCAAACCCCACCCCTCACAATGACGTCACTCACTCCATTTGAGTCCATTGTGTGATCTTATTGTAAACATTTATGTGTTACACTGTACATTTTTTATACACAAAAATAAGTTCCTAAAAACAATACCTTTATTTAATACTTTCCTTTTTTGAAATTTCATACAATGTTGAATCTCTTAAGCTTATTAATAGTAAGAATAACCAGCCTGATCTCACGAGAAAACGTAAGTATTGCCAGTTTAGTGGCTAATTCGTACGATTTCAGTCGTACGAAATGGGACGATTTTAAAAAGGAGGCGTGTCGCCTAACCCCACCCCTAACTCCAACCGTCATTGGGGGATAAGCAAATCGTACTAAATTGTATGAATTAGATCGTACGAATTCATACAAATTAGCCACTAAATGAAAAAGTTACGAATTGCCGTGAGATTGTGTTGGAATAACACGCTTCTTAAAGCTTAAGAAAATCTTTTTCCTTAATGATTGAGGCTTTGTCATTTTTTTCTCTCTCTTCTTTCTTCTTTTTTGTTATGGTATTTTTTTTTCATTGCATTGATGTTATTATTCTTGTATTCATGTATTGAGTGATGCAATCTCAGCTTGCATGATAAAGGCTGCATCCAGATCCTATAGGAGGACACCCACGCCAACATGGGGAGAACATGCAAACTCCACACTTAAATGCCAACTTGCTGTTAAATGCCGACAGCAAGTCAACCAACGAATAATAATAAACAATAAACAGGTGACAATGACAAAACTCCTCCAGATTTAATGAAATTAATTAATCAATTACCAAATAATGACATACATAAACAATAAGAGGAAACATAAATGAATACAAATGGAAACAAGTTACCATTTATAAGCAATTTTAGACCTACTAAAATTGGGGACGTTAGTTAAATACAGTCACAACCTTTGGAAAGGCACACAGAAAAATAATAGATATTTCCCAGACATATTTCCAGCAGCAACGTTCCATATAATTGAGTCATCTCTTTTAAATCCATAAAGAACATAAGAATGTACATATAGTAATGTAAACATTTAACGAGTAATAAAACATAGACCATATCTATGAACATCTAAACATTAGGCTACTATATCTATGGTAAAAAAAAAACGTATGATTAACCTGTTTTTCTGACCCGTCGACGACAACGCGTTTTCGCGCCAGTCCTCTAGGTGGCGGTGTGACGTCAGCGCGCTCATATAAGTGCCACTTCTTCTTCTTTGTGCTCTTGCGCGTTTCTGACCTCTGCAGACTGAAAGCGGTCCTCAAGTGCAGCGAAATGGTTCCTCCAGTGCAAGTGTCGCCACTGATTAAGGTTTGTCTTCTCAAACACATTATTTAAGTGGTTTATTACTTGTTTGATCGAAGGAAAGCGTGTATGTGGCTCCCGCTGTCGTGTTTCCCCTCAGAGGACAGTGAAGCGTTGCTGTCTGTTGGAACGGCCTTCGTGCTGAATGTCATGGTGTTTCTTTCCTTTTTCTGTTCATACACGCATGATTATTGATATTAATGATGATTTATTTTCATTTTCAGACTGCCAGGTGGTCTGCGTTGCTCGTTGGCATTATCTATGGAAAGCGCAGATATGGTAAGGAGCAGAAAGTTTGTCAGAAACAGTTTGACAGGCGCTCAGATGACAGTCTGTAGATTGAAAGACTTTTCATACGTTAATAAATCATCAACACACATTCATTTGATAAATAATAACAATTATTTTAAGCTGTACCATGTTTTCCTCATGAGTCCCTGATACTGCACATTAATACCCCAGGGTTTGACAACATTAATACAGCTTCATTTGAACCATCAACCCTCAAACAAATGTAAACACCACCAAATATCTTATTACAGCTAAGGACCAGACCTTTTTTTTTTTTTTGTGAAAAAAAAATTAATTGTGTTAAAAATTTGCGGATTTATGTGGAATTATTTTGGGGATATCATTACTAAAACTTTAATATATAAAATAAAAAGTAATACCTTTTTAACTTCTATTTAATGTTTACAATGCAAAAATATAATTAGATCCACTTTATTTGGTAAACAAAGCAAGTCTCTCGTATAATATATCTACTAAAGGACAGAAGATATTACTTTACAAACTGTATTGCAAATAAATCAAATGAATATTTTCATATTAGTCAATAATATTACTGTCATTAAAAACTGAATAAATATGAATTTACACACAAATACATAAGTAAATAAACAGTATCAATGGTGGGCTAAAAATCTGTGAAATTCTGACTTTGAAAAAAAACTTTGTGGCCGACTTGTAAGTCACTTGCACTATACTTTTTCATTGAGGTAAAGTTGGTTTTATATTCGCGTATTCCTTCATTTATCATAGCGCTACTATGCTAATTTAAATATAGGTTCTGAAATCAAATGTAAATATGACTTGAAAATAACATTAGCACTATTTATTTGACTGTGAACAGTGCTGTACTTTGATATTCGTTGGCTGCTAATATGATTTCACTGTTTAGAATTTGCAAATAATACCTTTCTGAAGTGATATTATTAAGCAGAAAGTCTGAATGTGTGATTATAAAACCAACTTTACCTCAGTTTTACCATGTTTTCCTCATATATGACTGATATACTGCACAACAACCTCAGGGTTTGACAACATTACAGTTTTTTATTTTAACTAAAAACTACAGTTCAATCGTTTTACAGCTGAATAAGATATAGAGCAGAATTCTCAGACAAAAAGGTTTTCTAATTTGTTGGTTGTCTTGTTTCTAGTCCAAACGTTTATAAATTAAATCAAGTGGCATTTCCACGATGAATAAAAAGTTTTGTCAAAATTGAGTTTCTCCTTCAAACAAGCAAAATAAGCTGCCATGAGCATCTTAAATCTGTTATTATATTTTAAATTCAGTTAAGCTGTTATCACTCTCACAGAAGGTTGTGAAAACACCATCATGGAGTTTTTCCTTTTGTTATTTCAGCAAATTGCAATGCAAAAAATAATATGAATACCAAATCATCATCATCTTACATCTGATGATTATCAACAATACATCATCTTGCATCTGATTATCAACAATACATCCAGTTTTTATTAATTTGTTGTCAGAGTTAACCAAGTTCACCATATACACATTCTTAGTGATAATTAGGGCCAGACGGAATCTGCAGACATTTTTTGCTATTTTGCGGAGAATTTTGGTAAAAATCTGCGGATTTCTGCGGAATTACTTTGGGAGTATCCAGTGGAGTATCATAACTAAAACCTTAATATATTAAATTAAAATGAATAAATTACTGAATAAAAACTGAATAAATTCAGATTTACACATTTAATCAAGTAAATAAACAGAATTAATAATGGGCTAAAAAATCTGCAGGAATTCTGCGTGCGCAGATTCCGTGTGGGCCTAGTAATAATCTATGGACAAAAGTCTAACCAATTAAAGTCGGCATAAAACGGATGTTAAAATTGTCCTTTTAAAGGGGAAGAGAAGGTTATAGTATTTGATTAAAGTTTATAGGCCAATTCATTTTTACAAAATAAATAGGTGCATGGATGCATGGTTTATAACAAAAACAACAACATTCATATAAATATTAGATAAGTACATTTGATTTCAGGGCATAAATGTTACTGTATCGGATGCTGAATGTTTCAAAATGTTTACACACTCTGTAAAGATCTTGCATTTTAGTTAAATTCCTCTTCCTTTATCCCCAGATAACCTGAAACCAATTGCAGAGGAGGAGAGGAGAATAGAAGAGGAGGAGAAGAAGGTGCGAGAGGAGCAGGAGCGCATCGCTAAACAGCTAGCAGAAGGTATTAAGATGTATAAAGTGACTCCTCATCAGTTAAACTCTGAATACTCTGCTCATTCGGTCCCAATGACTCCTATTTTTGCTTATTCATCAGCTAATGAGGACACAATCCTGAAATGAGCTGCCCAAAATGAAGTTTCCATCATAATCGATTCCTGTCTGGATAAAGGACGGTGCTTGTAATCAACCGTTTTGGTTTTACGGTGCCCTTTTCACACCACCCACAGATATTTAATGTCAGATTAATGTTCCTTTTTGTGAAATAGTCTCTGAATACATGCAAATATATGAGCTTGACCTTGTATACAGTTACTCTGATCTGGTTTGTTCTTTTCCCGAATACCTTCAATTACAGAAGAGACAGATGTTGTACATGATTAATACACACTGAATAAGACTTTCACTTTGGTAATCATCCACACCAATATTTATTAATAAAATGGTAATCCGTTATGTCGTGTATATTTTGATCTATAAACTATTTGATAATGTCCAGGTTATCAAACTCTGAATTAAAACAGTCGTAGTTGATTTTAAACTTTTTCTCTTGTAAAAAAAATTCATAGATAGCAGGAATTGGGTGTATGGCCATACACAATAAATGTGCTATATAAATACACATTACATATAGAGCAATTTGAGAGATGTAAACAAAAACAATGGTCCCAGCGTATTTCCGGGTTTACATATTTTAAATTCCTGTAGCGTCTGAAAATCCAAAAACAGCCTCATGTTGATTAATGTTATGATAGCTGTTTTAACATTAAGATATTATTGAATTGCCTCTTGTTACAGTTATGAAATAGTTTGAAAAGTAGGAAATGTTCACGGGCCAATGACATGACCACATTGAAATGGTCTAAATAACGATTAATATGACTGTTTGGTTTGAGCAACTAGTGAGTGACTGTACAAAGACTTATAAAAGGCTGCTAGTTAAAACAATATTGACAATAGCCCCTTTCACACATACAGACCTTTCCGGAAAATTGCCGGCAATTTTCCGGAAAGGTCTGTATGTGTGAACAGGTCCTTTTTGAAAATACCGGTAAATCGTTCTGGCTATTTTCCGGAAAGAAAAGTTGTAACATTACCGGCAATTTGCCGGAATGCTGCGCTGTGTGAATGCAGAAGGAAGATTCCCGTAATAAGCGCGTGCACGTCTAGAACGTGCTGACGTGAGACGTCTGCTTTAGCCAATCACAACAGTCAGATGCATTTACGTCCGCGTGGTTTGTGAGAATAAAAGCCTTTGAATATTTTTCCAGACACATTTAGCTGCTAGAAGTTAGTCAGATCACGTTTATATGTTCTTCTTAATGCCAACTGTGTAAATAATCATCGATGAGATGCTTATGATAAACCGTTGTTTGTTTACCTTCAAGCTTTGCATGTGCCTGTGAAAAAGCCTGTGAGCGCCTGCACACGCACATATTATGAACATCTCGACATGCGAAAGTGATCCTGCGAAAGTTGTTCACAATATTGATCATTCACAGAGTCTGTAATTTAGTCAAATGTTTACAAATACAAGTGCAGTCGTTTAAAGCTCATTTGTGGTGAATGATGTCAGAATTTACCGGTATTTTGGAATGGATGTATGAATGCTCTTTTCCAGAAAATTTCCGTAACGTCCTCGCCTGTGTGAACAGCGCTTTTTTGAATATACCGGTAAAGTCGTTCCGGAAATTTTCCAGATATTTACCGGTATCTCTGTGTGAAAGGGGCTAATGTTAAGGTAATGGGTTGGAAACAAATTTATAATACTACATTGTTATTATTTAGTTTTTACAAATATTAATGTTTTGAGAGACATTATGATGGATTTCTTTGCAATTTTAAGGTAGCGGGCAGCAAATGTATAATATTATTATATTTTAATATGTAATTATAAAAATTACTGGACAAATAATATTTTGAGTCAAATGTTGGGTTTATATATATATATATATATATATATATATATATATATATATATATATATATATATATATATATATTTTTTTTTTTTTTTTTTTGTGAGTTTTGTCTAATACAACTTATAAATGTCATTTCCCACAGTCCATAATTCTTGAATCAGAATAAAACTGATGCATTCGACGTAAATCCAAAAGTACAAGATGGAAATGTTACAGTGCTCAGCATATAGGAGTACAAACTTAAATCCTTAATTTCATATTGTACTATAGGATGCGTTCCAATATTATATTTGTGCATTAGTTTGGTCAGTAATGAAGAAGATTTTTATTTTCTAAAAGAGTGGAGGGCTTTATCAATTTGCCATTATATGTCTTAGGTCATAATAGAGTAAAAGCTTAGAGAGGGCTGGTGAACCACCTTTGTGTTTTTGCAGCTGGGAGTAGGGAAGGATAGAAAGTACAGCAACTTTGAGGGACATTAGATTGTCCTGAGGAAACACTGTTGATGGGTTTGCTCTGGACAATCATGGAATATCCAATAAAGTCTATTCTGATATTAATAACCTCCAGAAGAAGTTTGATTGACTAATCGAACGGCTGGAAACTATGACAGTACTGAAGCCAAATCTGGAGCTAATCTATTAATGGAACAGCCGGAAACTACAACAGTACTGATGCCAAATCTGGAGCTAATCTGACATGACATTAAAAAAAAAAAAAAAAAACGTTAACACAGATCAAAAATTAGTATTCCAAATTTGTTGGGGACAATTTTTAAATTAAAATTTAAAACAAGAGGAAAAAAATCAATTGTAGCTAAAAATATATAAAATTTTGTAGTTTGTAAAAAAAAATTGTTGCAACATTTTGCTTGACATTTAAATGTATTATCTTTCTATTTCCATCTATAAAGATGTTTGGTGACTAAAATATTATTTTAATAAATATATCTGTTTTGTTTAAATGCACCAAAATATATGACCTTATTCACTGGGAAATGGATAAAAGATTCATTTTCAAAATGGGGTGTACTCTATTATGCTGAGCACTGTTCCTTGTTATTCAAGCCATTATGTACTAACTAGTGCGATTTAAGTAAAATAAGATACCAAGTTAACTAACTATAGTGTGTGTGGAAAGTCAAAAGCCTAACTGTGACTACCGGTTCTCTGAATATTCCTCTGTGACAGAATATTCTCCATTTCGTCCCCAGTAATCCACAGCTCTCGCTCTGTAAAAACCGCTCACCTCCAGACTCTCTACAGAGGGAAAAACACAGGCAGTCAATAAATGCATCAATGCTTTAAGTCAAAATACAAAACTCAAACTTTAGGCCAGGGGTGTCCAAACTCAGTCCTGGGGGGCTGGTGTCCTGATTAGTTTAGCTCTAACTTCAACACACTAGCCTGAAAGTTTCTAGTATACCTAGAAAGTGCTTTATTTGCAGGTTCAGGTGTGTTTGATTGGGGTAGGAACTAAAATATGCAGGACACCAGCCCTTCAGGACCGAGTTTGGACACCCCTGCTCTAAGCAAAAGTATGTATACCTGGAGAGTAAGTGAAGTATGTGAAAATAGTGTCTCTGTGATTAATCCTCAGGAATGTGGACTCATCTCTGGAGAATTCCACTTCATATGTTTTTATACACCTAAAACGGCAGGCAAAAATAAATCTAGCCCATTTATAAATGAATTATGTTGGTGATCTGCTGAACTTCCAATAGTTCTCACTTGGTGCCGACGCAGTGATCCTTCCAGATGATCAGAACTTGTCCTTTGGTGATGCTGATGAAACGCAGCCCGTTCACCTGCAGAACAATTACTGCATTATTAAAACCAAACCACACGCTTTCACAATATCTGCATGGAAATAACCTGGAAGGCAGAGGTTTTGTAATCACACTCTTTAATTAATGTCATGCCCAGACAGACACATTAATTAGAGTAACAGTGTTTTGGGCGTTGAGTTGCAGGTCATTTCACCACACAATGTGATTTCTTCATCACACCATATTAAATTCATTAGCGGGTTCAATAATGCCTTAAAGCAGGGGTGTCAAACTCAATTCCTGGAGGGCCGCAGACCTGCTTCAACACACCTATATGTAGGTATCAAACAAGCCTAAAGCACTCATTTAGTTTGATCAGGTTAGCTAAACTGCAAAGCTGCAGCCTTCCATGAACTGAGTTTGACACTTGTGGTTTATGACAGGTCTCACTATTTACCATTTAGGGCACACTCACACTATGCTATCCGAACTGTGCCCAGGCCCGTTTCCTGGATCATTTGAGAAGTGTGAGTGCTCTGAATCAGGCCCAGGCACGGTTCAGCTGGCCGGCCCTGGCCTGGTTGGAAGAGGTGCGCCAGAGCACGATTCACTTGGGCTTAGGTCCGACTTTTAAGGGACTGTTTCATATGTTTTTTAAAATCATTCTTACTGTTTAATGAACACAAACTGTCATAGATTATTAAAGAGGTAAACCCCTCACTGCACGACAGCTGCACCTTCAGCAAACCTCCTAATTCCTGCAGCAGGTGGACTTTAAGACTGTTTATGAGCTTTAAAAGTGGCTGATCTGTTCGGCGAAATATTTGACTGCGTGTCACTGCATCTCAAACAACTAAAACTTTATAACTAAAGAAATCTCCACTGTGCTGAGAGAGGGCTTCTTACTGAACAGCACATCATTGATGACGTAAGTGTGCCCAGGCCCGAATGTAATGCGAGTGCGAGCTGTCGGGGGAGACGGGAGGGGAGATAAGTGTGCTTCAGATCGGTTCTAGGCACTTTAAACAATCATATAAACCATAATCAGCACTAATAAATAAATACAAAATTATTCTGGTGTACAAACACTATTTTGAAGGTTTCTATGCAAATTTTCTAAATCAACAGCAATCAATGTCAGAGGTCTGGAAGAATTGGTTGTAAAAACAACATGGTAAATCAACAATAAAAAAAAAAGAATATAAATATATTATTAAGTGCTAATAGTATATTAAAATGCATGAATAAGTGCCCAAACAACAAGCAACACTTACTTTAAGGTATTCTTACGAACAAAACAAACAGAGAGAGGACAAAAGTAGCAAAGTCATGGGTGTGTGATGTTATTAGCCACACAAAGGACAGTTAAAAGAACACTCCAGCTTTTTAGGGAAAAACGGCTTAATTTTACAAGCCTAGAGTTGAACAATTGACTTCATTTTTAAAACTATTCAGCCGATTTCTTGCATTGGTGGGGTCACTTTTAGCTTAGCTTAGCATAATGAGTTGAATCGGATTAGACCATTAGCATTTTAATAAAAAAAAAAAATAATAATTCCTTACATTTCTATAGCTTTTTCTAGACACTTCAAGCGCTTTACACATTGGGGGGAATCCACAAATGATGACTCGATGGCAGACCTATTGCGCCAGACAGCACAACAGCTGATTGGTGAAGAGGAGACAGTGTGATGAAGCCAATTATGATATGGGAATAGTTAGGAGGCCATGATGGACAAATTTGGTTAAACCCCTGCTCTTTTTCGAAGGACATCCTGGGATTTATCATGACCACAGAGGGTCAACACCTCGGTTTAACGTCTAAATGAAAGACGGTGCTCAGTATAGAGTACCCTTCACTATACTGGGGCATTAGAACCCACACAGACCGCAGGTTGAGTGCCCCCTGCTGGCCTTACTAACACCACTTCCGTTAGCAACCTAGCTTTCCCATTTGGTCTCCCATCCAGGTTCTGACTAGGCGCAGCCCTGCTTAGCTTTAGTAGACTACCATGTGAGAGTTGCAGAGAGCTAGTGGCCGGCAAAAAAAAAGGAGTTGATCATTTCCCAATTTAAAGCTCAAGTCTTCTGTAGTTACAGGTACAGTGTGCAATATTACACAAAATGCTAATGGTCAGATCCAGATAAATAAACCATTTTAAAGGAACACTCCACCTTTTTATGAAAAAGTTTTGTTTGTATTTGACAGTGGACCTGAACCGTATTTGAATCCATTTAGTCGATTTCTTGTATTGGCGGGGTCACTTTTAGCATAATCTTAGCATAATGAATTGAATTGGATTCAAACCTGGTTGGGCATTTCTTCAGACTGAGCACATATGTGTACGAGCAGCACTGAAGGGATGGGAAGGCTTTTCTTCAGCATCAGAGAGCCATCAGATGGGACTGGCAGAGGCCCATCAGTCTGCGGGTCCTGCAGCAAGGTGAATTTCTTTATTTTATTTACTCTGACATACAGTGTTCATGTGTTATAAAGATCGGTCCAAAGCTAGACATCACATTGTGGTGTAGACATCAAATTGAAAATACAAAAGTGATTTGCATACACAGGAAGCATGTTGCGTCTACTTTAATGTTTCATTTAACTTTTGTCAAATCTATAAAGATAATGTAGCACTCTTACGCAGGTTTGAATGATTGTGGTATGAGGATATGATTAAAAACGATAAAGATAAAAAAAGACGTGTATTGTAGGGCTACACAGCGATCCTTAAATAGATTCTTTAATATGTCGTCAAATGATTCTTGTGCTAAATATAACTGACAAGATTTTGGTTTTATAAAATAATTACCTAGTTCTAATTTGTTTTTGATTAAGTAGGGCACATTGTAACATATATATATATATATATATATATATATATATATATATATATATATATATATATATATATATATATATTTAAAGCATACACTCACCGGCCACTTTATTAGGTACACCTTACTACCTTCAGAGCTGGCTTAATCCTTCGTGGCTTAAATTCAACAAGATACTGGAAATGTTACTTAGACATTCTGCTCCATATTGACATGATAGCATCACGTAGTTGATGCAGATTTGTCGGCTGCACATACATGATGTGAATCTCCCATTCCACCACATCCTAAAGGTGCTCTATTGGATTGAGACCTGGTGACTTTGGAGGCTATTTAAGTAAATGCATTGTCATGTTCAAGAAACCAGTCTGAGATGATTCACGCTTTATGACATGGCGGGTTATCCTGCTGGAAGTCACCATCAGAAGATGGGTACACTGTGGTCATAAAGGGATGGTCATGGTCAGCAGCAATACTCATGTAGGCTGTGGCGTTGACACCATGCTCAATTGGTACTAATGGGCCCAAAGTGTGCCAAGAAAATATCCCCCACACCATTACACCAGCACCACCAGCCTGAACTGTTGATTCAAGGCAGGATGGATCCATGCTTTTATGTTGTCGACGGCAAATTCTGACCCGACCATCCGAATGTTGCAGCAGAAATGGAGACTCATCAGACCAGGCAACAATTTCAACATTTCAATCTTCTATTGTCCAATTTTGGTGAGCATGTGTGAATTGTAGCCTGTTTCCTGTTCTTAGCTGACAGGAGTGACACACGGTGTGGTCTTCTGCTGCTGTAGCCCATCTGCCTCAAGGTTGGATGTGTTGTGTGTTCAGAGATGCTCTTCTGCAGACCTCAGTTGTATCGAGTGCTTATTTGAGTAACTTTTGCCTTTCTATAAGCTGGAAGCAGTCTGGCCATTCTCCTCTTGCATTTGCGCCCACAGAACTGCCGCTCACTGGATATTTTCTCTTTTTCAGACCATTCTCTGTAAATCCTAAAGATGGTTGTGCATGCATATCCCAGTAGATCACCAGTTTCTGAAATACTCATACCACCCTGTCTGGCACCAACAACCATGCCACATTCAAAGTCACTTAAATCTAATTGTCCCCCATTCTGATGCTCGGTCTGGACTGCAGCAGATGGTCTTGACCATGTCTACATGCCTAAATGCATTCAGTTGCTGACATGTGATTGGGAAATTTGCGTTAATGAGCAGTTGGACAGGTGTACCTAATAAAGTGGCCGGTGAGTGTGTATTAAATACTTTAAAAGCACTGCACTTTTATCGTTCACTTTTAATCTTTGACCCAAATACGTGTTTAAGCTTCAAGAATGGCTCATTATAAACACCATGTTACAACCATGAGCTCATTAACACAAGTAAACTAGCAAGAAAATAGTATGTAGGTTTTTCTACACAAATTCATATTCGATACACTGCATCTGATGCCATATCCTTGTAATTATTTGTATAATTTACTAGTATTTTTGTTTTACACAAAGATTTACACCAATAATTTTTTGTGCATATGAAAAACAGAAGTCTTAAAGCTACAGCAGCGAAAAAAAGCTGTTCTGTAAATGTTTACAGTCAAAAAAACTAAATTATGAGTGTTTTGTGTGCATTCAAATATGACTTACTCTTATAAAAAAGATGTAAAACGCTACAATGACCTCAGTAAGTGTGTGTCATGGAGTGTGTGTGTGTGTTGTACCTCCTGATTCCGCATCTGCGTGAACTGTTGTGCAGTGGGATAGTCCGGTCTGCTCATGCTCTCCCACAGTTTAAATGGGTTTGTCACATTATTGTCCATGTAGTGCGTCACATACATCAGACCTGCACAAACACAGGACAGCAGAGAACTGTAAACACGAGCAGGTCGTTTTATCAAGGGCTGCTCAGTCGTGTTTTCTGACCCTGGCGCTGAGGTAATCCAGTGATGCGAAGACTGATGACATCATCGGAGGTGGAGGTCTGGTTGTCTCTGCTGTTATAGATCAGGACGCTGCTCTGCCAGCTGTCTGCGCTGAACGGCACCTGAGGAACGTGAACGCTGGCCAACAAACCCACCGACGCATTCACATCAGACACCTCGGCCTGCACCTGAGTCTCGCCTGAGGAACAAGATGAGAATGATCCCATAATGAGTGCATTGGATTTCCGTTTTCAGCATTGCAGGTTTCTGTCATATGATAGCTGCAATGTGAATGAATAAAAAATGAGTATATCACCATTCATTCATTTTCTTTTCGGTTTAGTCCCTTTATTATTCCGGGGTCACCACAGCAGAATGAACCGCCAACTTATCCAGCACGTCTTACACAGCGGATGCCCTTCCATCTTTGGGAAACAACCATACACACTCATTCACTACGGAAAATTTAGCCAACCCAATTCACCTGTTCCACATGTCCTTGGACTGTGGGGGAAACCAGAGCACCTAGAGGAAACCCACACAAACGTGGTGAGAACATGCAAACTCCACACAGAAACGCCAACTCATTCAGCTGAGGCTCAAACCAGCGACCTTCTTGCTGTGAGGCGACAGCACTACCTACTACCTAAAGGCCACTGCGTTAATCTTTAAATAATTGCAATATTTTGAATATATCATATAGTGTATGGGCGCATATGGTGGCTCAGTGGTTAGCACTGTGGCCTCATAGCATGAAGGTCGCTGGTTCGAGTACCAGTTGGGCCAGTTGTCATTTCTGTGTGGAGTATCCATGCTCTCCCTGTGTTGGCATGGGTGTGCTCTGGGTGCTTCAGTCTCCCCCACAGTCCAAAAACCTGAGCTACAGGTGAATTGGATTAACTAAATTTGTCGTAGTGTGTGTGTGTGAATGAGTGTGTATGAATGTTTCCTAGTACTGGAAGGGCATCTGCTGGGTAAAACATATGCTGGATAAATTGGCGGTTCATTCCACTGTGGAAACCCCTGATAAACAAGGGACTAAGCCAGGGGTCACCAAACTTGTTCCTGGAGGGCCGGTGTCCTGCACATTTTAGTTCCAACCCTAATCAAGCACACCTGAACAAGCTAATCAAGGTCTTGCTAGGTATACTTGAAACATCCAGGCAGGTGTGTTGAGACAAGTTGGAGCTAAACCCTGCAGGGACACCGGCCCTCCAGGACTGAGATTGGACTAAGCTAAAGGAAAGTGAAAAAATGAATGATGCTGGTTAATATATCACTAAATATGACAAAATAGTATTTCATGTTGAATGTGAATTATTATTTGCTTCCTTACTTTCGGCTAATATTATATTATATTTAATTATTTAATATATCATTAACGTGATATAATTAAATCATTAATGATGTACTAAATTAGTTGATTCTATTATTTAATTTCACTAAATAAAATAGGCGACGAAGTGGCGCAGTAGGTAGTGCTGTCGCCTCACAGCAAGAAGGTCACTGGTTCGAGCCTCTGTGCTCTGAGCTTTCTGTGTGGAGTTTGCATGTTCTCCCTGCTTACGTGTGGGTTTCTTCCGGGTGCTCCGGTTTCCCCCACAGTCCAAAGACATGCGGTACAGGTGAATTGGGTAGGCTAAATTGTCTGTAGTGTATTGAGTGTGAATGGGTATGTATGGATGTTTCCCAAGATGGGTTGCGGCATTCCGCTGTGGCGACCCCGGATTAATAAAGGGACTAAGCCAAAAAGACACTTTATTAGTAGTAAAATTAGTAGTAAAAAAGTAATTCAAGCTAGATTCATTTGACTTATATTAAATAAAAAACTAAAATAGCAATATTATAACAACAAAAAATACTGATTCATTTCTCATGTTTGCATGCATTTATATCACAGTATGTTTTTTAAATGACTGTAATGCATTAGAAAAATGCAGAATTATATGACATTTTATTGTATTATATATTTAAATAGAGTTTCTAAAACTACAATATTTTTCTGTTTCAAAAATAACAACATATAACAAAAAACTACATCATATAAAATAACTTAATATGTGTATACACACAAATGATATGAATAAATATTAACTGCACTACACTAAATACAATATTTGGCTCAATCCATAAAAAAAATATGAATCATTTTATATGAATAAATTGAATAATGTTGATAATAATTTATTTTATATATTTTTTATTTGAGTTATTATACATTTAATTACAAATTTGATGAAACCAATTTATTTATTATTAGCCTACCTTTTAATTTTTTTTCTTTTTAAATTTTTTCCCAAATGATGTTTAACAGAGCAAGGGAATTTTCACAGTATGTCTGATAATAATTTTTGTTCTGGGGAAATTCTTATTAGTTTCATTTTAGTTAGAAGGTCAAAATTATTAGCCCCTTTAAGCTATATAGTTTGTAACAAAAAGAACAAACCATCTTTATACAATAACTTGCCTAATTACCCTAACCTGCCTAATTAACCTAGTTAGGCCTTTAAATGTCACTTTAAGCTGTATAGAAGTGTCTTGAAAAATATCCAGGAAAATATTATTTACTGTCATCATGACAAAGATAAAATAAATCAGTTATTAGAGATGAGTTACTAAAACTATTATGTTTAGAAATGTGTTGAAAACATCTCACCGTTAAACAGAAATTAGGGGAAATACAGTGTTTGAATAGAAATAAACTTTGATTATTCTGTACCTAACAGTGCCAGCAGGCCCATGACAGTGAGGACTGGTTTTCTCAGTATCTGCACGTGTGGAGGGTTTGTGCTGTTGATCTGAAAGCGTGCGGTGAGGGTGCGCTGGCTGAACGGGTGCGGATGGTAACTCAGGAAAGCGTTATCATTGCTCAGCAGAGTGTAGTTAACAGTACTGTTCCGATCGGCGATAAGCAGGTCCTGATGCTGTGAGATCACCTGAAACACACCAAAGAGACTGTAATACAACAATAGAATACTATATATATATATATATATATATATATATATATATATATATATATATATATATATATGCAACAGCACAATCCTCACCTTAAGCACCATGGCTGCATAGGTGACGTCTGCCCTCCAGGTGAGCGGTTTGTTCCAGCCCACCAGCGGATCCGCTTCGTCATTGTATATCGGCAGCGAGCAAAAGTCTGGAAAAAGCTGCTGGATCTCCTGCACAGTGGACACCTCCTGTTGCAGGATGGGTAATGAGCCTCCCCCGCCCTGAAACACAACATACATAGCACAATAATCACAAATACGAGTAATCTTTTGTCATTTATCAGTAAGATACAGTGTTTTAAAGTTGCAATATGTTTTCCACTTCTCTTTTTTTTTTTGAGTGTTTTAAGATCTACCAGTCCAGGCACTGCAGGAGAATATAGCAGTTTTTGTTAAGCCTGCCACAAAACGTATTTCTTTTTTAAGGTCTATCAATGTATTGTTGTGCATGTGACTGTCAAATACAGCGGGGAAAATAGGTATTAACACGTCATGTTTTTCCCTTTGAATAATATCTATTGCGACTTCCTGATGCCTCCTATAAGTCGCTCGAGAGGCAGTGAGGGTCCTTTGAATTTGTATCACGCTGGTGGCTTTAGACAGACACACTGAGCCCAAGATGTTGTAAGGAAAACTTTATGTAAACTTGAAGCATGACAAATAATATAGCAGTTTGTGAGTTGAATACCTGTTTTGTGTGGAGCCGATTATTGCGTTGTAGTGATGGTTATTGCGTGTGTCGTTGCGTTGCGATGCGTTTGCGATGCCGTTTTGCGTTGCTGTTTGCGATGCCGTTTTGCGTGGCTGTTTTGCGGTCAACAAAACATACGGCTACCCCACTCTCCTTCTCTCCTCCTAACACCTGTGTGATTGTGCACGCGCTTTATATGTTTTAGCAGGTGCCAGTTATGCCCACGTGACCAAAACATAAAACGTCACTGTGAAACCCAAACTAATCAGTATACAAATAAACATTATAAGTAAATGAAAAGTAATATGGCTCCTATAATATCTTTACAGGAGCTGTTGGCATGGAATTTAACCAAATTTTAGTAAAAACTCAAACAATACAAACATAAAAATAAACCAAAACAATCTGAAAAATCTGAGAAAGTGCTGAACTACTGAAACATGTTTGGTAATGGCAGCTTAAAGACGCCTCTCATGTGGAGAATGCCTCTCATGCATTGCTCAGATGTGAGTTTTTGTGTCAAAGTGAGAGTGTCAGTGATTTTGACAGAGTTTCAAAATCTTAATGTTTCTGTGGGTCTCTTCTATCAAATCTGATCTCAAATTTGTATGTTCTATTGAATTTGAGTCAGGTGATTGGCTGGGTCATTCTACAGCTTGATTTTCTTTCTCTGAAAGCATTTGAGAGTTTCCTTGGCTGTATTTTGGATCATCGTCTTGCTGAAATGCCCACCTTGTGTTCATCTTCATCCTCCTGATAATCAAGGCTCGACAACTTTTTTGATCAACAGCCACTATGGCTAGTCATTTTTCAACATTTTCACTAGCCACAATTTTGTTGTTGGGAAAATCTGTTTTTATGCATGAATTGACTTTTGCATGCTAAAATGACTTAATTTAGATATTGTGATATGTCCACATGACTTCATTTTACTGTTTTGTATGTTGTGTGTGACTTTGCTCAATGCGCATAAACAAAGCGGTAATGGTTTCATGTTGTTGTAACACATTTTCCTCTGGCTACACTGAGAAAAAAATCTTAGCCACAAATTTTAAATAGCTTAAAAAATTCAAAAACTAGCAAGATAAAGCAATGCTTTCCTTAAAAACAAACAACTGACATTTAAAAAAAACCTGTCATGTGTCTAAAACTGTGCACTATAGTCTGTCCAGGCTAAAGGTCTCAGATCATCAGTTCACCACATGAATAAGAAGTTAATCTCATATTAAAGCAATGTTACTCTAAAAAATGATAATTTAAGCATATTAACAATCGTGATCGCAAAGTGAAGAGCGAGGGGAGTGGGGGTCAGGGGGTTCATCAAAAAGTGAACGGACACTAAAAAGGCAAGAGAAAATTTGAGGCATGTGCACCGCAAAGCCCTACCATTGTGTATAACGATGGTTTGTTCTGTAGACTATTGGAAAAATATATAGCTTAAAGAGGGTAATAATTTTGTCCCTAAAATGGTTTGTAAAAAAAATAAAACTGCTTTTATTCTAGTCAACATAAAACAAATAAGACTTTCTCCAGAAGAAAAAATATTATCAGACATATTGTGCAAATTTCCTTGCTCTGTTAAACATAATTTGGGAAATATTTAGCAAAGAAAAAAAATCAAAGGGGGGCTAATAATTCTGACTTCAACTGTATGTATTTCTTTGTTACCAACATCTGGTAAAAATTTCCAGTCAAAGGCACCTAAAATGTTTTCTGAAAAAAATGGTGAAGTGTTCAATACTTATTTCCCAGCTGAAATTAAAACTAATTTAAAAAATAAATGTACCTTCTTGTGTAGTGCAATGTAGTCGAGCCGTACGCCGCTCTCTCCGGTGAAGTAGTTTGTGCCATTGTAACAGTGTTTCAGCATCTCCCAGCAGTATGGGGAGCGTGGCTGTGAGTGACAGGAGTCTCCCGGACCCCCAAATTTCAACAAAGGACTCGCTGCACGAAGGCCCTCAGAACACGCATCATAATAGTTCAGAAACCCTGGAGCCGGAAAAAATAATCCTGACAATGAAGCCGGTATTCTGTCCTCAGCAGAACCACTAATTCTTCCATGTGGCAGCATTAAATTAAAACCTGACAGACACTTTCTTGTTTGTAAACACCACAAAAAAGCACAATTTCAGTGTTTGAGGACAGCATGTGCAGAGATGCCACACAAAAACAGCTCTGGGGACACAGATGCTGCTATAGTTACTTAAAATATGTTCTTTAGTAAAACACAAAAAACTGTGGTCTTCTGTAGTGAATAAAGTACAAGACAATACTTACCAGCACTTTTAGAGTAAGAAAATGACCCAATGTACAATAATGTGTTTTACTGTTAAATAGATTTTATTAGTTGGTTTTATTAGATATTAATCATTCATTTATTTTCTTTTCGGCTTAGTCCCTTTATTAATCTGGGGTCCCCAAAGCGGAATGAATCGCCAACTTATCCAGAAAGTTTTTTACGCAGCAAATGCCCTTCCAGCTGCAACCCACCACTGGGAAAATTAGATATTTTTAGTATTATTATTATTATTTTCAACTATTTATTGTTATTATTATTAGTGTTATTTTTATTACTTTTTAAATTATTCAATATGATTATTATTAGTGATATTTTATTATTATTATTATTATTATTGTTATTATTATTATTACTAGTGTTATTTTTACTATTTAAAAAACATTTACTATCATTATTTTTAGTATTATTTTATTATTATTTTTATTTTATTATTATTATTAGTGTTATTTTTTATTATTTAAAAAATATTCACTATGATTATTATTAGCATTATTTTATTATTATAATTAAATTTTTTATTATTATTCATTATTATTCATCAATATTTTTTATTAGTGATATTTTTATTATTTTATTTATTATTATTGTGTTATTAGTTCTATTTTATAATTATGAGTTCACTATTTGAATTATTATGTATTATTATTATTGGTGTTATTTTTATTTTTTATAATATTATATTTTTTTGCTATTTTGGTTGTTTATTTATCCTACAGAAGAGTTGGTTTATTTGTTTTTATTTGTTTAGAAACGGTGGTCTTCGATAGGTCATAAAGTACAAGTCAATGGTTACCAGCACTTCAAAATAACAAAAAACGCAATTATGTTTGTTTTACTGTTATAAAAATAAAATTTTTTGTCAAAAAAAAAAAAAAAAATAGTACCAGTATTATTATTATTTGATTTAATTAATTATTTATTATTATTAGTGTTATTTTTATTATTTAATATGATTATAATTAGTGTTATTTTATTATCATAATTACTATTATTATTATTATATTTATTATTAAGATTATTAGTTTATTATTTTAATTATTTATTAATTATTATTATTTTAATTATTAATTAATTATTATTATTGGTGTTGTTTTTATTTTTTATTATTATTATTTTTTTGCTATTTTGGTTGTTTATTTATCCTACAGAAGAGTTGGTTTATTTGTTTTTATTTGTTTAGAAACGGTGGTCTTCGGTAGGTCATAAAGTACAAGTCAATAGTTACCAGCACTTCGAGAAAAACAAAAAATGCAATTATGTCTGTTTTACTGTTATAAAAATACACATTTTTGTCAACAACAAAAAATAGTACCAGTATTATTATTATTTGATTTTATTAATTATTTATTATTATTATTTTATTATTTATGCATTCATTTTCCTTTGGCTTAGTCTCTTTATTAATCAGTGGTCTCCACAGCGGAATGAACCGCCAACTTATCCAGCATATGTTTTACACAGCGGATACCCTTCCAGCTGCACCCCATTACTGAGAAACACCCAAAAAGGCTACTTTTATGTAATTTCACAATTTCCAAACGTAAAGACATGGACTCTGGTTCAGTTTGGTGCACATGCATCATTCCTCCTCTCTACATGGTACAATAAAAATGCAGACACCACACAAATACAGATGCTATTACAGGGTCTGAGGTTAGGTTACCCACATGACACACAGGCTCATGGACTCTCAAGACATTTCTTTTTAATTTGACAACTATTATTAACTTGACACAACAACAACAAAAAACGCAGCACTCATGATGAGGAGTCAAAGAAAAGAGTCATATTGTTATAAGGATTCCTGTCAGGATACAAATAAAATGAAATGCTGCTAATGCTGACAGGCTTTTGGCACAGTCAATGGAAAGTTCTAGCAGATTGTGTCCGACAGACAGACTGATTGACAGAAAATTTGATGCCATCATAATAAGCCTACCTTGAATTGACACAGTGATGTTGTCAAAATCATGATTGTTCGGTTCATTCCACGTCTCAAAGTTCCACTGAGAAACAAAGCCCAGGCCGTATTTCCCTGTTTACAAACACAACAGCAAAAACAAAATGTCTAGAGCTTTGTGGTTAAAGGTCAAGCTTATAGTAAATAAGAGGTTAACATCATTCATAACTCATCACTGCTCTGAGACTCACAGATGTATCGTTTGGCGATCAGATAGACCAAATTTCTCCATTCAGTAATTTGTTGCTTATCTTCAAAGTTGCTGAAGGTGTTGGAGACGCTGCCCATCAGTTCAAAGCCTTTATTAACACACAGGCAGAAAATAATATTTTTTGTAATATTTTAATTCTTTATATTTATATCCTATATATATATATATATATTCTCATTATATCCTATATATATCCTTAATATTTGATTTTTTTTCATATGTAAAGATATTTGCGTATTGCTCTACATCTTGTGTGTTAAGCAGTGTGTAAGCGAGGCGCACAACTAACGTGCTCTGAGCTGGACTTTAGATCGGCTTTGTTTTGGTCTATTGAAAAATCCCTTATGTATTTTCTCAAAATAGCAACGCACCAGCAATACACCTCAAAACGCCTCCCTTTTTAGACCACAACACCTATGGGCGCACATATGAGCGCAAATGCATTTGTTATTTAAACAGCGTAGCGGAAACATAAAAACAATTAGTGTGTCAAGCTGAAACTAAAAAAAAACAATTGCGTCTCGCCTTGCGCCACATTGCGCCGGGTGTATGATCGGGCCCATTGTTCGTTTTTGTGGTTAAAAGGGATTTGACACTATTTACATAAGCCACTTATACACACAAGAAAGGAGGGGAAGTGTTTTACTATTATTGAGAGAAGAGTGTTTCTATGGTTGGTTCACTCACCTGTGTTAAGCACACTTCATAAGTGCACAATGTTTTTTTTTTTTAAGAGATATGGGGTGATATGGGTGCAAATGTCGATTATAATGTCAGAGAGATGAGAGAGGTTTCTACAGGAGGTTTGTCAAGCCCACTCACCTGTGTGAAGCACACTCAAAATTGCGTAATGTTAAATAATATTCAGAACCAGCCAAATAATCAGGAACCAGTCAAATAATCTAGACATTAATTATAGGATTCTCCAAGGCAGTGCCGGCTCTAGGCATGGTCAACGGCCGGCTCTAGGCCCACCCAATCAAAAAGAAAGTAGTATACAAATATGTTTTTATTTTCTTTTGTACGATTTGTGATTTTAGAAAATCAGTAAGGCGAGCTCTGTGTTGAAAAAGAGGCATTGAAAGCTCTGACCAATCATAACGAAACACCGCACAATTTGATTGGCTGTGAGTAATAGCACGCTCCACATGCGTGAGGCGAGGCTGCTTGGCTTCAGTCTGTTACAGCCATAGATTACATCGAGTCACGCAATTCATAAATTCTTTGCTTTCAATTGCAATGCATGAATATTTTGTGCCTTTAAAAAGCCTGTCAGGTTCCAACCACAGTGAAGATAAAGTGGCCCAGGAGTGTCGCTAGATCCCATTCTGAGGCATATGCCCCGGTAAAAACTTGGCAGTGCACCAGTAAATATTTTGAGATACGATTTACATTTTATGCCAGTGTATTTATACAGAGCCGTAATCCCAGAATAACCACGTTTTTCTCTATGTACAACCCAACCAACGCTGATAAAATCGATGTAGTTTAATCAAAAACAAACTTACACATGCGCACAGAAAAGTATAACACGCAGAAGCTCTTGCTCCTGGGGTGAATTTCTATTGTTAACTTGCATGCCAAAAAAAAAAAGCTGCTCATACAGTGTGCAACTGGTGCAAAAGTCTTTCATACAGGTGTCGGCACACAGTGAGTTTTGTAAGTCGACAAAACTAAAGTTAAATAAAATGATGATGATCTTAATTCGACTAAGCATGGCTATGGAGCAGAAAGGAGGCATGATGAGTCAGGGAGGTAAGACTAAAAGTTCTCTGTGAGTCAGATAACAGATAATTCTATAAAATATACCAGTTTTTTTGTATTCTATATTATTCTATAGAAATTCCTGCAAAAGATTTCATAAATTGTCTTAGCATATCACTCCAGTTGTGTCTTTACATTGTTTTTCAGTTACATTTAGAACTGATTTCTGTGATTAATTTAGAATATTATTTGTATCATAAGAATAATAATATCAATAATAATAATACTTGTATTTATTTAAAATAAATATAAATATATGGTTTTAAATATTTATTTATAATAAATATTATAAATAAGTGGGAGTGGGGGGGCGTTTGAGGAGGGGCTATGGTCCTGGTCCTCAATGCAAAAGACAGGGATGATATCAGAATACAACTATGCATAATTCTGAATTTCCCTTATCAAAATATTACCTGAATATAATTCTTTTACACAAACTTCATTCTATCTTTAAAACAATTAGAATATTGCTTGATTTCCCAGAGATGCGTTGCGGCTGGAGGGGCATCCGCTGTGTAAAAACGTGCTGGATATGTTGGCTTGGTTCACTCCACTATGGCAACCCCGGATTAATAAAGGGACTAAGCCGACAAGAAAATGAATGAATGAATGGATAATATTGCTTGAATTTGTGGACGACTTAGTCTAGTAATCATCCATTCTGCATGTTGACTGGATTTCAAAATAACTCTTCATTGAAACCATCTTTGTGCTTATATTGATTTAATATAATATGCATCTCCAATCAAGAACATTATTACCTCAATATTTTTGCTATTCCGTCTCCTAGCCCCACCCCCAAAAATTGCCCACCGGGGTTTTCTGACAGCCCTCCCTTCTGTGGTTGTTAATAACCGGGCCGGCTCCAAGGTGCAAAATTTGTCTCAAAATCAGCTTGATTATCTTCTAGTGTGTGTCCAGCATGGACTATATTAATGAAATAATGTAGGGACTAGTGAATAAGGGTGTGGTGAGATTTGAGACACTGCATCATTTCTTGAAAAACAAAGGATAGATCAGTTACATTTATTTTCTGTATTTTATCTGGAAATTGGTTGTTATTATTTAAAAGGTTTTCACTGTAGATTGTACAAACGATTACTGGTAAAAATCACAGCAAGTTTTTACAGTGTAGTAAACAAATAAAAAGTGAATTCAGCACAACACAAAAACTGTTTGTTGCTTTGCATACCTGGCTGCAGTCCATTCTGCCACAGAAGGTCAATCAGCTGGTCTAGGTGAGTGAAGTTGTAGTGATATTCTCCGCCATAAACCCTATGTGAAAGTCAGAGACAAAATATCTATACCAGAACAATTATAACAGTGATGCATGGAGAATCGGCAGAAACTAGATGTATATAATATATAATTTATTTGTGTGTGTGTATATATATATATATATATATATATATATATATATATATATATATATATATATATATATATATATATATATATATATACACACACACACACACAGTTGAAGTCAGAATTATTAGCCCGCCTTTGATTTTTAATTTCTTTTTTTAAATATTTCTTAAATGATGTTTAACAGAGCAAGGAAATTTTCACAGTATGTCTGATAATATTTTTTCTTCTGGAAAAAATCTTACTTGTCATATTTCGGCAACAATAAAAGCAGTTTATAATTTTTTAATAGCCATTTTAAGGACAAAATTATTAGCCCCTTTAAGCAATATTTTTTCCTGATAGTCTACAGAACAAACCATCATTATACAGTAACTTGCCTAATTACCCTAACCTGCCTAGTTAACCTTATTAACCTAGTTAAGCCTTTAAATGTCACTTTAAGCTGTATTGAAGTGTCGTGAAAAATATCTAGTAAAATGTTATTTACTTTGATCAAGGAAAAGATAAAATAAATCTGTTATTAGAGATAAGTTATTAAAACTATTATGATTAGAAATGTGTTGAAGAAATCTTCTCTCCGTTAAACAGAAATTGGGGGGAAAAAATAAACAGGGGTGCTAATAATTCTGACTATATATATATATATATATACACCAGTTAAAATTTAATATATCAGTTACAATTTTACAGGTACACTACAGACCAAAGGTTTGGACACACACCTTCTCATTCAAAGAGTTCTCTTTATGTTCATGACTATGAAAATTGTAGATTCACTGAAGGCATCAAAACTATGATTGAACACATGTGGAATTATATACATAACAAAAAAGTGTGAAACAACTGAAAATGTCATATTCTAGGTTCTTCAAAGTAGCCAGCTTTTGCTTTGATTGCTGCTTTGCACACTCTTGGCATTCTCTATATGAGCTTCAAGAGGTAGTCACATGAAATGGTCTTCACTTCACAGGTGTGCCCTGTCAGGTTTAATAATGGTCTGTACTGTGTGTATCGGGTTTAGATTTTATGCATCTATGCATGTACATGAGCTTGTTTTCCGAGGGGTCTTAAATGCACAAATGTAAATGTAGTCAACCATTGAAATGAAGCTTACTATTTAATTGCCAATATAACAAGCTACTTATTAGCGAATACCTTTATATAAATATTTTTATTTCCTTAATAACTTTATATAAATACTTTTAGCATACATATTTCTCTTGTTTACTTTGTTTTCCAATTATTTAAATGTCTTTCTGTCCCCTTGTGTTGATATGTATCTGTACCCTGAGCTCCTGTACAGAACCACGAAAAAAACATATCCTTGCATGTTTGCACAGACTTAGCAAGCAAAGATGAGCCTATAACGGCACTTCACGGGACCTTTATTATCTATGTATTCATATATTATATGCCACACATATTTTATATTCTAGCAAGTATGTAAATTGTATAACATTTTATTCATTCAAATTCAGAATCAGTCTGGTGTAACTGACCGTGCAGACACCAGCTCCAGCATCCAGTGTATTCGCACCTGCTGGATTCCTCTGTGTGGCACTGAGCCGATCAAGGCCAGATTCATCTGCTGGTCTGGACTGAGATCATACAGGTGTGCATCCGTGTGCGGCTGCGGAGGACTGCAAAAACAGGACACAAACATGAGCAGATTTAACAGGTAATGCTGTTTGTTAGTCACCCAAAAAACACTCTCCAGTCGTTCTAAATATTTATGAGTTTCTTTATAAGAACCCAAAAGAAAATATTTTGAAGAATGTTGGAAACTGGTTACCATTGACATGCATAGTAGGAAAAACAAATGCCTGCTGCCTTTCAGCATTTTTCAAAATATCTCCTTTTGTGTTTAACAGAAGAAAAAAAAAACTCAAACAGGTAAATGATAAAGTAGTAAATGATGACAATATTTATTTTGGGGTGAACTTCTTTTGAACTAGGTAACTTCATCCTATTTCCCAGAGATGGGTTGCGGCTGGAAGGGCATCCGCTGCGTAAAAACTTGCTGGATAAGTTGGTGGTTCATTCCACTGTGGCGACCCTGGATTAATAAAGGGACTAAGCCGACAAGAAAATGAATGAATGAATGAATTAATGAATTTCATCCTAGTATCTCCTATAGTACTGTGTGCTTTTGGAATACACGCGTAAACAATGTGATATTTCAGTACATAATCATTGTTAGGATCATCCTAAAATTGCAGTAATAAAAGTTTATTAAACAGTCATGAAATCCACCAACCAAATTTGAGATTTTAAGATGTAAATAAATATTGATTAGGCATTGCTAAAAACGGTAATATGAATCATAATTGAAAGTTGTTGTTTTTTTTTTTTACTTTTTCCTAAGCAGTTTTGTTCTTTTTATTTGAATAGGTAAGCTGATGAACGTCACGTAACATGAGGTCACTGTGAGGTATCAGTGTCATTTCACCACAACACTGTAATGTCGCTTTAAAAAGTTTGTGTGAAAGATTATTTAGGTGGTTTCTATGAAAATTAATAGTGCCATGTAAGAACATCTAGATAGAGGACATTTAAATTTTGATCAAAAACACTTGAAGAAAAATCAAGGTAAAGATTGCTTGATAAGGAAATACATTTATTCTACTTCATTTCCAAACATGTTGTACCTTCAAAGATGTTATTAAAAACCAAACAAATTTCAGATAAATAAGAGAGTTTTGTATACATGAAAGGCTTGTATCAATTCAAAGCTAATCGGTGAAGCTATTTTTCATTTTATCACAATAAACTGTTGAAATGTCATTTCCACCACCACACACATTTTAAAGAAACATTTAAACAGTTCTTGTGACACATTAAAAGTGTATTCACAATGTATATGTTCATGCTTTATTTAATATACAAATTAAGTTTATTTATTTTCTAATAAGCTCTTTCCCAAATTAATATTAAACTGTCGAGTGTGACAGGTGTACAATTCAGCATACAGCTCATTTATTTCATTGACAAATTAATAATTATTATATAAATTGTGGAAAGATTGGTTAAACTAGATACAAAAATGATCTTAGACAATGTTTGACTGCCATAATTTATTTGATATTTAATAAAAGCTGTATATTGAGATGAATTGACATTTGTTCAGTTCACGATGGAAAGATGTTTCTCTTTTAATCTAAGTCTGTCCTCTTACAGATCTCAAAATTAGACAAACTGTTTAAACTTATGAGGCTGTTACGTTAATTTTGAACAAGTAAAAAAACTCAACTTCACATGGCTAATAGTGAGCGCCCGTAGATGAAGAATGTTACACATTACACATCTTACCAGAATCCAGTGCTTCTCCAAAAGTGCTCCAATTTTCGTAGTGGTTTGTCAACATTCACTCGAACCTCCACAGATGAAGAAATTACAGACTGCTGCTGTTTTATCATCAGGACTGTCATAAATACGGTCCATGTCAATGAACGGAGTTTACATTTGCACATGCTGCCGACGTCACTTATAAACAATCAATATACATGTCTTACAGATAAAATAATAAGGCTTTCGAGGTCCGGAAATCGCATTTGGAAACATTAAACGTATTTTCACTAACTTCTGTTCTCATGTAAAGCATCTATTCAGCTTTCTTCGGAAAGTTGGTGCACTGACGTCATCGACTGGCGACTTGTGGTTATCGCAGCTGAGCTGAATGATGTCGCAGCCTGCTGGTCTAAACATGAAAATTACTCTTTTCTCAAGCACATTATTCATTTTTATTCCTTTATTTTTTAGTTGTTTAATGCTAGTACTGCTTTTCTTTTTTTTTTCTTTTTTACTAAATGCAGACTCGAGTCATAGGTACACGGTTGTCAAATAAACCTTTCCCAGCTGAAAAAAACAGCATAGGCTGGTTGACCAGCCTGGTTTTAGAGGGGTTTTGGCCATTTCCAGGCTGGTTTCTAGCCTGGTCTTAGCTGGGAGATGACCAGCTAAAACCAGCTTGACCAGCCTAACCAGGCTGGAGCCCAGCTAAAACCAGCTTTGTCCATCTTAAACCAGGCTGGTCAAGCTGGTCATTTTCCAGCCTGACCAGCTAAGACCAGGCTGGAAACCAGCCTGGAAATGGCCAAACCCCCTCTAAAACCAAGCTGGTCAACCAGCCAACCAGCCTATGCTGTTTTTTTCAGCTGGGAAAGCCTAGGCTGGTTTAAGCTGGATTTTTTAGCAGGGTTATTACATGTTTTTAGCCTATATTCATTATATATATAATAAGTTTATCTGACAACAGTGTCATAATGTTTTATATAAAGAATATAAATTAATTATAATTAATATTTAAAAGTACAATATTAGGGTGTGTGTGTGCATGTGATTGAGAGTGTATGGGTGTTTCCCAGTTCTGGATTGCATGGCATCTGCTGTGTAAAACATATGCTGGAATAGTTAGCAGTTCATTCTGCTGTGGCGACCCCAGATTAATAAAGGGACTACGCTTAAAATAAAATGAATGAATTAATGAATGTACAAAATTAGGGTGGCAAGGTGGCTCAGTGATTAGCACTGTCACCTCACAGGAAGAAGATTGCTGGTTCGAGTCCCGGCTGGGTCAGTTGGCATTTCTGTGTGGAATTTGCATGTTGTCTCCCCATGTTCGGATGAGTTTCCTCCGGATGCTCCGGTTTTCCCCACAAGTCTAAAAACATGCGGTACAGGTGAATTGGATAGGCTAAATTGTCCGTAGTGAATGAGTGTGAATGAGTATGAATGGATGTTTCCCAGTAAAGGGTTGGAGCTAGAGGGGCATCCGCTGCGAAAAATACATGGTGGATAAGTTGGCGGTTCATTCCACTGTGGCTACCCAAGAGTAATAAAAGGACTAAGCCGAAAAAAAAATGAACGAAGGAATAAAATTGGCCGTAGTGTATGAGTGTTTGTGAATACGAGTGTATGGGTGTTTTCCAATACTGGCTTGCGGCTAGAAGGGCATCTGCAGGGTAAAACATTTGCTAGAATAGTTGTCGATTCATTCCACGGTGGCAAGCTCTGAAATAGAGACTAAGCCGTAGAAAAATGAATGAATGAATGTACAAAATTATCCAAAAAATTACTTAAAAAAACTAAATTAAATAAATTCAAATAAATAAATAAAAAAACTTTTTTGATTAGAATAAATGAATGGGGGGGGGGGAAAGCAAAGCAAAAAACAAATTAATAAGAACACAAATATTTTCTAAATATTCATTTAAATAGGTTGTTTATACAGGAAATTGTGATATTTTAGGATCTGTTTTATGCACAAGTAAAACATATTATGCATAATTAAAACATAATTTTAGGATGTAAAAAAGGGATTTCAAAGACTTTTAAATTAATTTAATTTCATTTTTATTGAGTTTTATATTGGCAAACATTACATGGAGAGGCCAGGCTGAAATATTTATATACTGCAGCACATTTCATGCAAAGTGCACAACAGAAAATGAAACAGAAAATGACATAGATTTAAAAGATTTGTTGATACAATTGAACTAAATGAAAAAATACAAAATAATACTTGCATAAATGCTGATAAAAGACCATAAAGGTGTTAGGAAGAACCAAACCTGGGGTTTTCACAGTGAGGCCACTTTATTTGCACCCGAAAATAATCTAAATAACCATCAAAGCACCATTTGTTTCATACTGCGAAGAATGTTTAAATATAATAAAACCCTATTTAGAATAATTAAAACATTTTTCTTTTTATAGGCTAGATTGCAACCACTTTACAGCTGCAGAATATAGATCCAATAACACACTAAAACAAAAACAAAAGTCCCATCTTTTTGTTTGAAATCTTTCCATCTACTGAATTTCTCATTCAATGTTGCACTCTTAAAAATACAGGTTTTTACATTGATGAATCTTTCAGTGAACAATTCTTTACCGTTTATTGGCTAAGGAGACATATGGTGAACTTGACATTGATTACAATATAATTGTTTATTTATTGAGTTTAGTTACTTTATTTATTTATTTATTAGTCAGTCATAAAAGTTCAAAAGTCTTGTAATAACCCTCAGTAACATAATCTCCACTGAAGCATCAATGCGAAAAATGTAAAAACAGCAACAAAAAAAGAGAATATTTAAAATGCATTTTTAATTTATTTATTTATTTGTCTATCATCTTATTTTAAACACACACACACACACACACACAAACACATATATATATATACATATATGTGTGTGTGTGTGTGTGTATTTAAAATAAGATGATAGACAAATATAATATATATTATATATAATATTAAATATAAATTAAATTAAGAATCTTTTATTTATTTATTTTTGGACCAGACCATACTCTCCACGATAACCGTTTTCAAGGTATATCGCGGTTTGGAAAAGTCAAGGTTTCAAAACTGCCAAAATTTTCTCCTATACCCTTCGTAACATATGTGTACGATTTTAAAAATAATTTTAAGGACAAAAATATTTGCGGCAGAAAAGATATCCAAATTAAACTGTAAAGAAATCAGTGTTTTTGAAACTAATGATGACAGCAGAAGTCAATGATTCATCTTAATTAATTAGCCTGGCATGTTTACTGCTCCAAAATATTATAAATGTCTCTAAAAATAAAATATAATGTGTTCAAAGGAGAAAAAAAGTTGTTGTTTTTTATCCAGACACTTAAAAAGAATCTATTTTAGGGCAGTAATCACAAAATCGTGAAACAGTGATATTTTAATTCAAGGTTATCATACCGTCAGAATCTTATACCAGCCCATGCCTAATCTATACTGAAGCATCAACGCTAATAAAGCACCTTTAATATTTTGAATCGGGGTTTAAAAAACTACCCCTGTGTGGTAGCAGGCTGCCCACGCTCCCGAAATATAATAGGAGGTGTAATGGCCACATTAGGCATGCCGTAGTTTGGGAAGTAGGGATTGTGATGATGATGATGATAATACGTCGGTGGAGGATAAAAAGGGTAAGAACCAAAACCTTGAGAACCCAGGAGAGGATTTAAGTGCTGAAAGTTGAAAGGCTGAAAATATGGGCTGACATGAGGACCGAGTAATGCAGAACTCTGAAGAGGACGCCCTATATTTGGATATGCCTGAGGAAGATTATTAGCTGGCATAACCATTGCATTCTGGGGCAGGACGGGGCCATATTGGGCTGGAAGAGTCATGACCTGAGCTGGGTTTTGGATGGCGGGGACTGGCTCTGCATTAGCAAGCATTAACTGCTGCAGAGGCGCTGGTTTGGGAGTTTCTGCAGCCGCCGGTCTGTCCTGCTGGGGAGCACCAGAGATAAAAAGGTTAATCTGTGGGACGGGGGCCTGCGGGGCTGGTTTGGGGTCTGCAGGAGGGCTGGGGTTGAACGGTAGAGGATTGAGCACGTATGAAGTCTGGACCTGCGGAGGAAGCTCTTGCAGACCTGTTGGTTTTGTGGTCGGGTTAGTGATTGGAGGTTTGTTGACGTTCGCTAGAGTGTCTCTCATCTCAGTTAGCAAGGCTTGCAATGCCTATAGAGGGAAAAGGGAATGCATTCGAGTCAATTCATATTCATTTCTTGAGCGCTTTTACAATGTAGATTCTGTCAAAGCAGCTTAACATACATTTAAAGTCCAAATACAGTTAAAGTCAAAATTATTCGCCCCCTTGTTTATTCTTTTACACCAATTTCTGTTTAACGGAGAGAAGATATCGTCAAACATAATAGTTTTAATAACTCATCCCTAATAACTGATTTATTTTATCTTTGCCATGATGACAGTAAATAATATTTGACTAGATATTTTTCAAGACACTTCTATACAGCTTAAAGTGACATTTAAAGGGTTAACTAGGTTGATTAGGTCAGAGGTTTTCAAACTGTGGTTCTCTAGTGGGTCGCACAGTGAACAAAGTTCGGTCGCGCAACGTCACATAGCTGCAGCTACATTGCGGTGAATCAAAACCAGTACGATTGATGGCAATAACTCAAAAACCTCTTACCCTAAAAAGATCTAAAGTGTGTTTCCTACAAAAAGACAAAGCTGGTTATATTTCACAGCTGTCTTTTTCTTTTTTTAGCTTGACATTACAAGCACTGCTCCGTTTGAGCCCTCGCAATCTGCGTTTAGCCGACAGAGCTCGCGCTGAGCGGAGCTCTCAGTAAAGGACCGTCGGAAAAGTGCTTATTTTATTTATTTTTTTAGTTTTTTGCTCCGTCATGCGTGCTTTATTTTAAACACAACTAATTTTCTCTTAAATGAGCACAAACAGTTACTAAAGTAGTGGAATGCTTCATTATAGATCTGTGCATTCTTACATTAACACCTGTTATAAAGCCAAACACAATGAGAAGTTCATTTGCTTCTCTTCACTAAATAACTATGGTAACTTTAATTAATATGCAAATACAATTAAAAGTGAAGTAGATTTTATAGCTTTATTTAATTTCTGGATAGGCCATTGATTTTAATAGGCTAAACCTTTTATGTTATTGTCAATATTTTCTAATGTTTGCTATGTATTCTATCATTTGAAGCTATTTGTTGTCCAATATTTTTTACATCCCAACGTTGACAGATTGCTAATCAATAAATAGCTATAGTGCTATCTGTTAGGTTTAACGTCACCTAATGTTATGGAAGGGTATAGATGTTATGGAAAATCGTAATAGTAATGTAACTACCCCCATCATTCCTTCCACAAGCAAATGTGTAAATATTAGATCTATTCAGCTATAATA